ACCAACAATGGGATTCGAACCTGGGATCCTTGGATCCACAGGAAGAGACTCTACCACTGAGCCACCCACCCCCCCAGAATCGGAATTTGTGTACCAGTAACTCCCATAATTCATCAAACAACAACTTCTGATAATCCCACTGACAAATTCGTGCAAATGATTGCAGTTGTAGGTCAATTTCTGAATCAATTAGAGAAAAGAAAATAAAGGAATTTCTTCGACAATAACGTGACATTTTTGTACCAAAAGGAAGAAAAACAGGAAGAACTTCTGTTGTAAAACACAAAATTGACACTGGTGACTCCAGGCCGACTAGTCAATCAGCTCGAAGATTACCAATTACCAAGAGAGAGGAAGTTGAAAAGATTGTTCAGGAAATGAAGAAAGACAGGGTGATAGAACCTTGTACTAGCCCATGGGTCTCTCCGGTAGTCCTGGTCCAGAATAAAGATGGAACTACGAAGAAAGACAGTTATCATCTGCCTCGAATCGACGATACCTTGGACACAGTACCTTAGACTTGAAGTCTGGATACTGGCAGGTGGAAATGGATCTAGTAGATGAAGAAACGACAGCTTTTACCAGCGGATCTGAATTGTGGTAATTCAATGTTATGCCATTTGGACTATGTATTGCCCCCGCGACATTTGAAAGACTTATGAAAATTGTACTGAGAGGATTATCCTGAAAAACATGCCTGGTGTATTTAGACGATATTATAATCTTGGGGAAGATATTTGATGAACATATAATAAAGAGAGAAGATGTTTTTAAACCACTTAAAGCTGCCCAACTGATGGTAAACCCCAAGAAGTACTAACTATTTTAAAATAAAGTTAATTACCTGGGTCATATAGTCAGCAAAGAAGGTGTGGCTGTAGATAAGGAAAAAGTCGCTTCTATCAAAGAGTGGCCACAACCAACTGATAAACATCAAATAAGTAATCAGGAAGTTTGCAGATATTGCTAAGCCATTAACACGACTCACAGAAGAAGCAAGGGAATCCTGCTGGGACGAAGATTGCCAAACTACCTTTAAAACATTAAAGAGGCATTTAACAACAGCGCCTATACTAGGCTACCCACTACCAGAGAGAACATGTATTCTGGATACTGACGCCAGTAATGTGGAATTGGAGTGCTTTTACAAATTCAACGAGGAAAGGAAAGAGTACTGGGTTATTTTAGTAAAGTGCTCTTAAAACCTGAGCGAAATTACTGCGTCACGAGAAAAGAACTCCTGGCAGTTGTGATGTGAAGTGAACACTTTTACCAATACCTATATGGAAGAAAATTCTTAATCAGTACCGATCGTGCAGCTTCTAAGTGGTTGATGCAGTTCAAAAACAAATCGCCAGATGGATTAAATGACTGGAAAGAGAGAAATCGTCGACCTACTTGGCAAGGAATATCAAAACTGTCTTCAGTAGTTAAGTCATATTTGGCTTAGTGGGACTCTTTTATTCTAGAATAAGGCTTATTAAAGCGAGTACTAGAGAATGATGATGGTTCCTAAAACAGAAGACAGTTGGTTATTCCACAAACTAGAGTAGCCAAAGTACTTCGTCAGTCCATCAGGAGGACATCTCGGTGTTAAGAAAACCCTTCAGAGAGTTCGTGAAAGGTTTTGTTGGATGCACAGTTCCGATGATGTAAAGGACTGGTGCTATGAGTAACGGACCCCAACGAAAAAGGAAGGCCCCCATGAAGCAGTACAACGTCGGTAGCCCATTTGAGAGGATTGTCTTAGATATTGCTGGACCATTCCTTATGACCGAGAATGGTAATAAATACATGATGGTGGTTATGGATTATTTCACAAAGTGGGTGGAAGGCTACGCCACTCCAAATCAAGACGCCGCAACTGTTGCAGACTTTTTAATAAAAGAATTCATCAGTAGATTTGTAGTGTTGTTTTGAAGATCCACAGTGACCAAGGCAGAAATTATGAAAACCAGCTTTTCCGAGGAATCTATGATAGGCTAGGCATAAAGAAAAACAGAACTACGGCATTGCACTTACAGATGGAATGATAGCATCGCTTCTCGAATCTACCAGAAAAACCGGTACGTGGCCATTGAGTCTTAGAGATGGAATTTTCGGACATTCGAGATCATCTAGAAACTAATAGTACAGAGGTGGCTTTATATAAATACCACGATGTTATGTTATGTTATGTTATGTTATGTTATGTTATGTTATGTTATGTTATGTTATGTTATGTTATGTTATGTTATGTTATGTTATGTTATGTTATGTTATGTTATGTTATGTTATGTTATGTTATGTTATGTTATGTTATGTTATGTTATGTTATGTTATGTTATGTTATGTTATGTTATGTTATGTTATGTTATGTTATGTTATGTTATGTTATGTTATGTTATGTTATGTTATGTTATGTTATGTTATGTTATGTTATGTTATGTTATGTTATGTTATGTTATGTTATGTTATGTTATGTTATGTTATGTTATGTTATGTTATGTTATGTTATGTTATGTTATGTTATGTTATGTTATGTTATGTTATGTTATGTTATGTTATGTTATGTTATGTTATGTTATGTTATGTTATGTTATGTTATGTTATGTTATGTTATGTTATGTTATGTTATGTTATGTTATGTTATGTTATGTTATGTTATGTTATGTTATGTTATGTTATGTTATGTTATGTTATGTTATGTTATGTTATGTTATGTTATGTTATGTTATGTTATGTTATGTTATGTTATGTTATGTTATGTTATGTTATGTTATGTTATGTTATGTTATGTTATGTTATGTTATGTTATGTTATGTTATGTTATGTTATGTTATGTTATGTTATGTTATGTTATGTTATGTTATGTTATGTTATGTTATGTTATGTTATGTTATGTTATGTTATGTTATGTTATGTTATGTTATGTTATGTTATGTTATGTTATGTTATGTTATGTTATGTTATGTTATGTTATGTTATGTTATGTTATGTTATGTTATGTTATGTTATGTTATGTTATGTTATGTTATGTTATGTTATGTTATGTTATGTTATGTTATGTTATGTTATGTTATGTTATGTTATGTTATGTTATGTTATGTTATGTTATGTTATGTTATGTTATGTTATGTTATGTTATGTTATGTTATGTTATGTTATGTTATGTTATGTTATGTTATGTTATGTTATGTTATGTTATGTTATGTTATGTTATGTTATGTTATGTTATGTTATGTTATGTTATGTTATGTTATGTTATGTTATGTTATGTTATGTTATGTTATGTTATGTTATGTTATGTTATGTTATGTTATGTTATGTTATGTTATGTTATGTTATGTTATGTTATGTTATGTTATGTTATGTTATGTTATGTTATGTTATGTTATGTTATGTTATGTTATGTTATGTTATGTTATGTTATGTTATGTTATGTTATGTTATGTTATGTTATGTTATGTTATGTTATGTTATGTTATGTTATGTTATGTTATGTTATGTTATGTTATGTTATGTTATGTTATGTTATGTTATGTTATGTTATGTTATGTTATGTTATGTTATGTTATGTTATGTTATGTTATGTTATGTTATGTTATGTTATGTTATGTTATGTTATGTTATGTTATGTTATGTTATGTTATGTTATGTTATGTTATGTTATGTTATGTTATGTTATGTTATGTTATGTTATGTTATGTTATGTTATGTTATGTTATGTTATGTTATGTTATGTTATGTTATGTTATGTTATGTTATGTTATGTTATGTTATGTTATGTTATGTTATGTTATGTTATGTTATGTTATGTTATGTTATGTTATGTTATGTTATGTTATGTTATGTTATGTTATGTTATGTTATGTTATGTTATGTTATGTTATGTTATGTTATGTTATGTTATGTTATGTTATGTTATGTTATGTTATGTTATGTTATGTTATGTTATGTTATGTTATGTTATGTTATGTTATGTTATGTTATGTTATGTTATGTTATGTTATGTTATGTTATGTTATGTTATGTTATGTTATGTTATGTTATGTTATGTTATGTTATGTTATGTTATGTTATGTTATGTTATGTTATGTTATGTTATGTTATGTTATGTTATGTTATGTTATGTTATGTTATGTTATGTTATGTTATGTTATGTTATGTTATGTTATGTTATGTTATGTTATGTTATGTTATGTTATGTTATGTTATGTTATGTTATGGTATGTTATGTTGGGAATGGGGTGTTAATACACTGCGATCTAAAAGATCCATTGTGTCCCCTTCTGTTGTCAATGCACTAGTTTTAGTTTTAGTTTTTAGACCCTTTAGACCTCCCGTGCTACACCCTGGCAGCACTGCAGCCTGCGGCTTATTGTACCACCATTTGAAGGTCATACTACTTTCCTATTCACACCCTCATTCATTCTCATTCATTCCACGTTGTCGATGGTTAAACGCTAGTCGGATGAATTCCATGGTGACACGACCCATGGTGGAACCTCCCAGCGGTCACCCATCCACGACGTGACCGGAGAGATTACTGCACTAAGGTAATGTCCTAATGCCTATAGCAACCCTTCCAATCCTATTTTCTCAAGGAAGTGTAGGATTTGAAGTGGCTTAAGGTTGGGTTAATCTCCCTCTTCTATTTGATATCCTCTTAGATATAGTGCCCTTGCAATAAATCGATGCATATGCTTCTAACAATACAATAAAGTAATATTGGTTGCCTAAATGTCAGTAATGTTTAACCAAAAAACATTTTTAGATAAATTTTAGTCAAATGCCATTTTATGTAACTCAATCATGTTGCGGGATCTCTCTCTGCTCGTCCCGCAAATATTTACTTGGTACATTTCGCAACTGGTATTATAAATAGCTATTATACGTAAACTAACTAATGTACTTACCATTTTCATTATCTGAATTTTTATTATATTTACCATATTCCAAAAAATAAAACAAGATTATTGGTAATAATTTAATAAAATAAATAATATATTTATTGACATCTACACTTCATTTTTTGAAATAGTTATTTGATTATCTGGACCTTTTTTATCATCGGCAACTTGTGTATTTGGCGAAGAACTACTATCCCTCATATCTTGATCCTCTAAAAATCTATCCATAAAATCAGTCACGCCTGGATGAAGGGCATACTTCTTCTTTTCTAATCTAACCTTATTCGCAAATATATCGTGTCGTTCGGATTTCTTCCATAAATAGTAAAATTGGACGAGTTCTCCAACTGATCTCGTACGCACTTTATTTTGTTGTGTCAGATAAAAGTTTTTTCCGAACGACCGTACTCCAGCTTCAAAGTTGCGACACTCTTCTTCGGACCAAGGTGACATATTTTCATTCCCGAAACCAATGTTCATCTTCAATCGTCTCAAAGCTTCTTCAACGTTGTGCCCACATTGTTGCAGTATATAAAGATATTGCTCATTATCTCGAAGATGATTACCAAGTGGTAATGGGGGTTTGTTAGCAGCTTCAGCTTTTTTTAGATAATCCTCAACCACTGCATTTTCTATTACATACGGATCCCAAATTAATTTATCGTCATTTTCGTATGGCAAAGCGTCGTCGTAATGACATAACCCTTCTGGTACTTGGGCTTGAAAGTCGCTTCCAACCATGATAGTTTTAAGTATTGCATGGTTTTCAATTTCATCAGGGTTATAATTATAATGTCCTTCTTCATCTTCATTTACTTTTGATCTTAAGAGCCTTGAGGCATCGGGATATTTATCTCGTGAATTATCATAGTATGGTCTCAAAGTAGGATGTCTGGTAACTTTGTTTATTGATCTACGAGGACTTTCGTTTTCTTGGTTTTCAGTTAGGTAAAGCACTTTATTTTTCATACGAGATATAACAAAATTCTCACCTGAAGATGACGAATCTTCTCTTTCCAATCTTATGTCTTCAATAAAATCATTAGTTAAAGTTTCTACTGATGAATCGGAGGATTTGTCTTCGTCGTCTGTTGTTGAATTTTTTTCCGCAAATCTTCTTGTTTTTTCCATATTTATCTAAAATATAAGTAGATTTTACCGAAACTAATATGAAAAAGTATATATATTTACTCACTTAGTTATTAAAATTTTCTATAACTTCCAAAACCTTCTAGTTTTCTTATATACAATTTCTGAATTTGCACAGCACATCTTGTTGCTTCTTTGTTCGGATATAATATAGTGTTTATGCCTTGACATACTTGAAATAAAATCAATACTTCCGTGACTGAGGGTAGATTTGGTAGCGTTGGGGTGTTTGCTAACTTTAGCGAAGCGAGAGTATTTTGTTTATGCACCAGATGGCAGTGTAATACAGATATTACGAATATCCAAGTTAACAAGAATGGGTTTACCTGAAAAGTTTCCATCGACCCTTGCGTTTAAACAACGTTTAAAAATAAATGATTTTATTGAACTTAAATATAATTATGTTCTAAATAAATAGTCCTACATTGTTAAAAAAAAGTCGGGGAAGGTGTTGTTTGTACCTTGGGCCAAAATATTTTACTGACGATTTTTTTGATCGATGTTTAGTGGAGCGCCTGGGGCGTTAAATGCACGAAAACTTCGAACTTGAACTGTAGTGAGAAATGCATGGCCAACTGAAGTTTCAATTGATTTTTGTATTAACATTGTCATATGTATTGACTTAATTTTTCTCGTTTTCTCGAAAAATATTATGTTTATTAAAAAATAAAAGCAACAAAAAAGTTTTAAAATAAACTTTGGCTTAAGATGAATTTATAATTTTAAAAATCAACGGATAGACGAAAAAGTTCTGTATAGTTATAAGGGTCAGTTATTCCAAAACAAACCCTTAAAATATTTTAATTAATTCTTACTAGCCCCCAAATTAGGACTCATGAAGCGCCCAAATAATTTACCAAATATAGATTTTTTTAAGTTAAACGGTTGCACATTATTTTTTTTCGAAATTTATGGCCCCATTTTAGGCTCTTGTAAATTCTAAGGGGTACAACTTGGTATAGAGGTAAATTGCGTTAAATCTTCATATTTTGGGATGCCCGATTCTTTACCCAAAAATAAGATAAATAGTACCTATCAACATGGGCCCGCATATGCTTTCTAATTTTACAATGAGTAACAATTCGGGGGAAATTTGGAAAACATTCAACAATGTGAAAAACTATAACAAGTCAATAATGCGAACACCAGTATATTAGATTTTTTAGGGTTTTATTTTTAGTTTGATAAAATTGTAGCTAGCAAAAGGAAGGAGAAAAGAAACGGTACCTTTTATTATAGCAATTTAAATATTTAACTAGTGATGCTATCAAAAAGTGAAGAAGTTAGTGATGTAACCTACCAAAAGTTTTAAGGAACTTCCACAACGGAATTGCTTGAAATTAAACTTTAAATATTTAAAAAAATATAACTTTATCAATAACATTTTATCTACTATGATTACACAAGTTTTAGTTGTTCCGGTGTCAACCTTCGGGCCTTCGACGTTGCTCAGACGGCAGCTAAGGGGCGGATAGCTATTAAAAATTCCGGAAATAGTAGACAAATGAAGGGCGTCAACTGGGTTTATATAGTGGCCAAGCTATATTCCTACTACCCTACAAACACTGTAAATTAGAAAAGAAATAAAAGACAAACCTCAACTTATGTTCCTTTATAATAAATTAACCAATTCAACTATTATTAACATTTTTACAAAATTACATTTAAGAAACAAATCTGTTTGCCAAAAGAAAAAAACAAACTCAAAAGTAGAGTTCAAAAACTTATTCAAAAATAACATACAGTATTTAAATTGTTCAACAACCCTGTAAATAATTTTTGATGAATTCATAAATAAACTAACGTAGCTAAATATGGTAAGAAATTAAAATAATGTATATGTCATATATGGAATATGCATGACCCCAAAAGAAAATAAATTCATCATTAGATGATATGGTCGGTCGTTTGCTTGGTACCAGGCGAAGGACGTTTGCGTAAGAAGGTATGCAAATATAGTGAAATCTTAATTTCTAACTTTAAAAAAATAAATATAAATAATCATGTGCATATACGCACCTATATCTAAACATCAATCGTATTAAATATTAAATAAATATTAAACCATGAAATTTTATATTTAAATATAAATCAAAACAAAATAAAAAAAATGTAATAAACACATATAAGGACTTTAGACACAGAGGTTATTTACTTAATATCTGCACCTTATGATAAGTTAAGAGTTGTTTTTTATAAAGAAGAAATTTAAAAATAAAAACGTTGAATGTAGCCCTTAGGTCCCGAGGTCAATACTCGGGCTGAAACACTTAGTGCTTAATTAACAAAATTTTAAAATAATTGATTATAGTTGACTACTACTTGGATCATTAAGTACTTAATAAATTAAATTATAAAGGTATATTAAGTAACACAATAGTTATTAATAGAAAAACCCAGTAGAATATTCTTTGTACAGAAGTATAAATAATGTTAAGAATACCTTAGGAACAATGGCATAAAGAGTGGATGTTTAATTTAATAAATTAGCCGGTACAGTGCACTTGTGAAATCCTCATTATAATATAAAAAAACCTGATAGTAATATAACTACTGAAAGAGAAATCCTTGTGAAAAAGACACTGATGGGAGAGCTGGACAAAATAATTTTGTCCGCCTCCTGCAGTAAAACCATGCCACCCACTATCAGGTCTTGGAATTCTGATGAAATCAGAGTAACGTGCGACGTTGACCTGACACTGGAATGGCTAAAAACCAAGGTACCAACCATAAAAACATGGGAAGGAGTAACACTCGCAGTTGTAAGGATGGACGAGCTCCCCAAGCTCACCAAAGTCTCTCTCTGGATCCCAGGGTAAACGTAAGTTGACCTTGATGAGAAAGAGGTTATGCTCAGACGACTTGAGGGGCAAAACCGAAACTTGCAAGTGGCGAAATGGTGCACCATCTACCATGAAATCAAAAAAGACCCTAAGGGCCTTTTCTTCGTCTTCGGCATCGGATACGAAGACATGGGAAACCTAAAGGCCAAATCAATGAGGATAAGCTATGCGTTCACCGCCAAAGGTCGAAAAAGAGACTGAAGCGGGGCCCAGTGAAGACTCCTTGGAAAAAGACCCTCTTCCCCTCCCCAATTGAAGTTAACAGTGGAGGACGTTGAGCCAGAAAAATGGCAATCGATGATCTCCAACAAGAAAACTACGAGGAGCCACAAGAGATCACCCCCTCTCCACTTTCGGAGGAAAATATGATCGAATAAATAACCACCTTTTCAACAGAGGGCCGAAAAGCAATAAAAAAGGTAACGATCATGCAATTTAACTTGCAGCACAAAAGGGTGGCTACGGCAGCATTATGCCGCCGTCTTAATGGGCTGTAAGACACAATGGCACTCATCTAGGAACCCTGGATAATAAAAACTAAAATATTAGTTTTTAAAAATCTAAATGTTTCAATTTTTAGCCTTGCCAGCAACCAACAACCTAGGACAGCTATTAACATTCCCAGGAAATTCAAAACCCACCCAATGGCACACCTTTCCACCTCCGATTTAACTGCGGTTCGAATGGAAGACGCCATAAAAAGGGAAAATAGAACGTTAATCCTGATATCTGCATACCTCCTCTCCGATGCAACCACGCCACCACCCATTAAACAGATGGAGGATCTGATTGAATGCTGCCTGGAACAGAAGTTTGAGCTGGTAATAGGTTGCGACTCAAACGCTTCTAACTTTAATTGGGGCAGTAAGGATAACAACGCTAGAGGTAAGTCACTTTATGATTTTATAATATTTCGATGTCAGACGACCGCTGGTTAACATTCAAAATAAATTTGAGGTTGCCGACCTCCACGCTATCCCGGAACCCTAGGAACACGGACAGGGCAACCTATTCCCTCCTTCTTCAAGAGGCTCTGAGAGAGATGGAGGCCAAAACACCAAACAATAACAATGCTTTAGAGAAGTACTCGAACACTATCTAAAGCACAATAAATAATTTCTATAAGAAATCCTGTCCTCTGAGACTGGTCCAATACGATCAGACGACTACCGCATGGTAGTCTCACGAGTTGAATCGCCTCAGGAAAATGGCTAGGAAATGCTTTAAGAAGTCAATAACCACAAAACTCAAGGAAGACTGGGATACTTACAAATTTCACCCAAGAAATTAAAAAAATCGTCAGACAAAAACAGAGAGATGCCTGGTGATCCTATTGCGAATAAATCGAAAATTTCTTGCAGACAGGAAGGTTTCACTCTCTGACAGGCTTTAGAAGCTAGAAGAATTAAATAAACCCCAAATTTATAACAAAACCACCAATAGACAAAATATATATTAGAATAGCTACTTGGAATGCCAATGGTATTCTCCAAGTTTTCTTGGTCGTACAAAAAATAGATATATGTCTGGTTCCTGAGACCTCCCTTACAACGGAGGCATATAATAAATTCAGAGGATACAACTTCTATTACACTATCAATCCATCAAATGCAGCAATAGGAGGAAGTGCGTTATTTATTAAAAATAACATTTTCCACTATAAGGAACAAGGCATCCAAGAACCAGAAAATCAGGTAACCATTAGTACCATTGACATTAAGGAGGGCAAAATTACAATAGCTGCAATCTATTGCCCACCAAAATACAACCAGAAATAAGATTATCTCAATGTACTCAAAAATCTAGATAACAAATTAATAATCGGTGGAGATTACAACTCCAAAAACACCATTTGGGGTTCAAAATTAACCACAGTCAAAGGAAAAGAATTGCACCGAGCTGCAAACGTTGGTTGCATATATCACATCTTCTAAAAAACCCACCTATTGACCCACCGACCCAAATAAGATTCCAGACATGTTGGATTTCTTTATTCTAAGGAAAATTTTACCAAACTATACACAAGTAGAAGAAAACTTTGATATGGATTCAGACCATTCTACAGTAATCCTTACTCTAAGATAAGATAAGAAGCAAAACGAACCCTACCAAATTGGAAAACTAATTGGGAAAGTTTCC